CTACTATAAACATTTAAGGGTTTAAGTTTCTTTCAAATATATACTGTAGTCACATTTTTCATATTTTGATATAAAACCTTTATTTTTTCTAAATGCATTTTAGTTTCCTCTACAATTTCTTAATTTTAAATTATTTAAAATTACCTTTCTTAATATCCAACTGTGTATTTGTTAGCTACCTACCTTAGTATCATTGTGGTTAGAGAATATGTTCTGAATTATTTCAGTTTTGTGAAATTTTTTCAAGACTTGCATCAATCACTGATTCCTCTATTCAAAATGTTTATTCAGTATCTACTATGTGTCAAATGCTGTTAAAGGCACTGAGAATCCAGCAATGAATAAAACCGATCAAAATCCCTGTCCTCATGGATTGTATTGAGTGAAGCAGACAACGAACAAACAAGATTAGTAAGCAAAATAATGGAGTATGTTAGTGGTAGAGAAAGAAACAAATATAATGGGGAGTTTTATAGTTGTCTTTTAAACTTTATAAGCTAGATAGGATGGTCAGTTAAGGCCGTACTTCCGTGAAAAGACCTTAAAAATGGAAGGGGACCTGAGCAAAAATCTAGGGATTTTTATTTGTCTTGAAGCCAACATATTCCTGTTGGTTGAAGAAACATTGAGGAAAATCACTACAGAGAACAGAATAGAATGAGTAAGGGAAAAAACAAAACGTCTGATCAAAGAGGTAATGGGTAATGAGACTCCACAGAGTTGGGCTTTGTGATAAACTGGCTAACGGGCCTCCAAAGATACCTACTTCCTAATCCTTAGAACCTGTGAATATGTTACCTTATGTGGCAAAATGGAAATAAGCTTGCAGATGTGCACTCCTCAGCTGACCTGGAAATGAGGAGATTATTCTGGATTACAGGGGGCCCTTATAGTCACAGGGATCCTTAAATGCGGAAGAAAGAGGCAGCAGAGGTTGCTCTTTACGTCTGTGTGATCCCAGGGTCACCGTGGTGTATCCCATCCAGTCACTACGAGCGACCAGAGTGGGGAAGAAACAGATATGAGGAAGACCAAGCTATCACTATATCTAGGTTATAAATTAATCTAACATTTTGGGCAGATGTTTTAAAACATTAAACAGTTTATTTATGTGAACAAAATAAACAATTGTTGGCTTGTGGGGTGCCTTACTCTGTTTCCTTCTCCATTCTTTGTTGTTATTTTAGAGGTTTTCTTAAATTTTCACCAAGGGGGTATGTGTGAAGAATTCCTCTCAAATTTTACTTTTTTAAAAAACAATTATTTATTTATTTATTTAATTTCATTGGTTATTATTATTTTTTAATTTGATGAGAGAGAGAAAGAGAGAGAGAAAGAGAGAGAGAGAGAAAGTCAGAAAGCAAGCCGTCAGGTCCAGGATTTGAACTGTAGTTGGCTATGTGGGAATCCAGCACCTTTAACTGCCATGCCACCTGCTGGCCCCTCAAATTTTACTTTTAAAAGGACAAAGCCTTGCTCTAGACTATATCTGGACCTTAGCAACTCAATTAAAATAGCTACAGAATGAGTTACTGGTTCAAACAAGGATCGAACAGGCCTTTCCTAAATTTAAGAATGACATTCTTAAAAACACTCCATAGAAAAAATGCCATGTCTGACAAACTTAACTGCAATCCTTTCATTTATATACATAAATGAAAAGGGATCTGAGGTATTATTAATAGTTTAAAATAGCTAATTCAAACATCTTTTATATTTAGCTTTGGAAAGCCTTATAACTCCCACCATCATTTTTCTTTCTTAATTATATTTCTCCTAAGCCAATAATAAAATTAATGTTCTATTCTTGAATGCAGATTAACTGATTGTAGAAAGAGATGGTCCAGCATTTTGATGGGTTGAAGAGAGGAGCTTGTCTAGGATTAAAATTTGAATTTAGATAATCCATATTTACATATTTAGAAGCTGACTATGTTTTCATGTTATCAATGTTTCTGAGCCAAGATTATTATTACACTGCAGCAGTGTTTTCTAGCAGAGTTGGCTGTCCCAGTCATTCCCCTCTTCATCTCTTTCTAGGTAAGGTAGACAACTATAGCTCCCCTTGAGCTGGGGATGGGGCCAATCTCATCCAATTTGCACAGCTAGGAGGTGGGAGGTAGGAGGTGGGCAATAAATGTTAGAGAGGCAACTGTAGCGTTCCTCAGAGTGTGTTATGATTTACACATTTTTTTTATATGGTATGGCAGAAAAAGCTATAGAGTAAATGTTAAGACCTGCCCTCAGGGACGGCAAACACCAATGGGTAGAATGGAGGGCGTCTCTTGATTTTTTTGAGATGGAATATCCTCCTATGTTATGTGTGCCTTACCTACCTCCTGGGGCTACTGCGAAGATCAAAGCAGACAACATGGGGAAAGCACTTTGACATTCATGAAGTATTACACACATGTTAGATGTTGCTAGCTGAGCACTCAAAATACTTAAGGGATTTAAAGAAATCCTACTGTGGTCAGAAGGCAGATTAGGATAAAAGAGCTGGCGAAACTCATCATTACTAATAAAAAAATTAGTCAACAGATATGCCAGTGTTAGTATCTCTGTAAATTTAAAAGCATACTTTTTCTTAGTTTCCTGTGAGTGTCTTTTTCTTTTGGAAGCCCCTGTGTAAGACACTTGGGGCTTCAATGTCCCCGATCCATTTCTGTGGAGTCCCCCATCTGCCATCTGCCCCTGTGCTTCTGGGCAGCCAGATTGCCTCCTGAAATCTGATCATCACCACGCTCCCTACAGAAGCCACACTACTCTTCCTATTAAAAGAGCTCATTCACTGAATTGTGAGCTCCTGCTGGGTGAGGCAGAAGTCACTTTGGTAATGAAGAGGCAGGAGAACTCCCTTTTGCTGTGGACCACAGCACAGCTATAGCCCAGGTCCAGCTGGAATTTATTTGAGGACAGAGATCACATCTTAATCCGTTTGGTTTAACCTTCAGCACAGTGCATTACAAGGTGTAGGTACTCAGTAAATATTTGCCAAATTGACAAGTGTATCAGATATCATGTTTTATCAGGGCTTTTAAGCCTAGACTATTAGCTTGCTTATTTAAATAAAGAATACATATCCTATGGCTTTATTTGCATCCGGGATTATGGTGAAGCAGAGTTGTGAGCAGTAGCTACCACTTGGCGGCTTCCTTGCCTTTCTCTGGATATTGCCTACTTCTGACTGTTTGGGACTGGATGTGAGGAGCAAGAGAAAGTAAGGAAGTGAGTTGGATGGAGAAAAGGTTTGGCCTTTGTCCTGGAGTTTGAAAGAATAAGAAAGAGCTTTGTGATATCACAGATGCAAATGTAAATGTCTGTTATTTCTATGAAAGACCCTACCGTTGTACCTTTCCTTTTTGCTATTAGGTATCTGGCAGGGGATCTAGCAACGTGGAAGTAGTCAGTAAAACTGTGGTGTCTCTAATTCATAATCAGATTTCTTTTCAGAGTATCCTTGTGAAAGAACTATTGGCATGCCTTAATGTATTCCCTTTTTTTCTTGAAAATATACCATCTGTATTTTCAAACAACAAAAAGCACATCCGTAATGACATCATCTTGATATTTTCATTTTTACATATATCTTCTGATCCTTATCCAAATGTATGCCTAATTTTTTTTAAATCAACATATTTGCCTTTCTCCTGTGCATACTATTTTTGTTTCAGAGCTGGTTTGGGAGGATTGCATCTGCCAGATTGGGGCTCAGAATTTCTGTGTGGCCTCAATAATCCTAATCTACGATGTAGTAGAAATGGACTAGAATCGCCTGGCAATTGCCTGCACAGATATTTTCTCAAAATTTGGAGGCTGAAGCAGAAATTAGTTACAGGTTGTGAGAGAACAGAGACCTAAATGAAAAAGAATCACGCAGGTTTTACTAGGAAAGACGTAGGTAGATATTTAAGTAAAATAATTTCAGTTGCTACCAGTCTTTCCCCAAATCTCATCAAACAAGAAACAAACAAAAAATTGAGACGCCACTAAAGTGACAAACACACCACAATAAAAGCGCCTCCCCACTAGTTAAAAATACTTAAAATAAATTTAAGAAAGCTCTAACGTTTAAATAGAAAATTTAAAATGTTAGAAGTTGACCCAAGTTTTGCAAAAGAGGCAAGAAAGAGACTAGAGCAGTCCCTTTGATAGGATGGAGAGTGAGGATCGAGGTCCAGTCCCTATGCATTTTTCTATCCAGCTATCTATATATGAAAGGAGAAAGGGTTTGTTTCCCCCCAGAAAACAAACAAACAAAACACACACACACACACAAGTGACAGAACAGAAAAAAACAACAAACAAGCAAACTCATCAATTCCCAATTTGGCAAGAGTCAGGTTCTTTCAGATGATTTCGGTCTCAGAAGAGAGGACTCAAGTAGGAATTTTCGGAAAACTATTAATAACAACCGAAAAGACTCTTGCTGGTCTGCACCAAGGCTGTGAAACAGTCACTCCAGAAAAGCAGCAGCGCCTGGGCATCGGGCGGCCACCACCTGTCGGCGGGGCGGTTTAGGGCCGCGAGGGCCCTGCCTGACGCTGACGGCGGGGAGCACACCCGGCTCCCGGGGCTGGGCCCGGGGGAGGCGGGCGCGGAGCGGGCGGCACCGCGCACAGGTGGCGGGGGCCGTGCCAGCT